CATATTCCATTGCAATAAGTACACAAAAGTTAAAAGAATGTATACAAATAGCTGCACTAATCGAAACTCAAAACAGAAAGCTGGTTCAAACCCTAAGCCCTACTAAGCCAGTTAAATTAAAACCAGCGATAGACAAATGCATGCAGATTGCAATAAGTAAGCTGTCTAAGTCTAAGTCCAGGCAACTGCCCGGAATCGTACTTAAGTCCCAGGCTAGTCTGTGGCTGTAGTATTGCCTAGCTAGCTGGTGTTTTTGGCAGTTGATAGCTTGTAGCATAAAACTACTATTTCACAAATATAAGTATATGTATGTTTTGAAAGTTGCGCAATCTGAACCGTTTGGCATTGCAGATTGGGCATTTTGCCGCCGCTGCCCGCTGGCGGCGCACCAGGTCACAACAGCGACAAGAGGCATGATTCCTCGCACAAGTCGTCACATCATCAGTCACAACAACAACAACAACAACAACAGCTGCAGCAGCAACAGCATCATCTGCAGCACCATTCCAGTGGCGGCTATGCGCATCCGTCGCAGCAGCAGCGCTGCCATGAGACATCGCCGAAGCGCTTCAGCAGCTCGCTGGGCAGCGATACGGGCAACAGCACGCGCGAATCCGAGTGCAGCGAGGAGCAAGGTCTGGCCGGCTCGCCAGTCTCCCGATCGCCGCCACATGCCAGCAGCAGCAGCAGCAACAAGCATCATTTGGCGCATCACTCGCATCATCCACATCCTCATCCACTGCCACATGGTCATCCGCCGCTGACGGCGCAACAGAACAGCGATCTGTTCGACTCGCTGGCTGCGGAGCTGCGCGCCAAGCTGAATGGCAATGGGCCGCCGCTGCTGCTACCGCCGCGCGACTATGATACAGTGCATCGCTCCAAGGGCAATCTGACGGCCATTGAGCTGCGGCGCTGTCGCAATGCGCTGATTGTGGGCGGCGCCGGGCCGACCAAAGGTGCAGCAACTGCCACAGCAGCGGCAACCGCAGCGGCAGCAACAGTTGTCGCACCGGCCACCACGGCCAATGGCAAGCAGGTCTCTTCGCGCGGCTCTTCGGGCATTGGCTCCGATCTGGCGCCCAGTCCGGAACGCCAGGAGCTGAACAGCTCAAGTGGTGAGTAGCCAAATAAACTTATCAAAAAATCAATTTCTAATCTCTGCCTGCGCAGATGACGAGCACTGGTCGAACGAGGCGGACAACTCGGTGATTGCCTTGAAGCCATCACAAATTGCGCTGCCGCATCACGCGCAGCTGAAGCGCAAGAGCGCTGTGCAGCCGCCGGAGGATAGCTATCTGCGGGATTTGCCCGCCAAGCCGTATGTGCCGCGCCAAATGGAACGGGAGCGCACCAAGACGCCGGCAGTCGCGAGCAAGTCCTGGTCGAGGGAGGATGAGATCAAGCCGATTATTATGCGACCGGCCGACTATGATGCGAAATTCAATCGTGTTATGCAGCTGGAGCCGCAGACGACCAAGCATGAGGCAGCTGCCAAGCTGCGCGACACCGACAAATACAATGAGATCAATCGTTTGCTCAACAAGAAGCTATCCGGCCAGGACAGAGATCGCGAACGGGAGCGGGAGCGCGAGCGAGCGCGAGAGCTTGAGCGAGAACGCGATCGGGAGCGGGAGCGCGTCAAGCAGCGCTCTCTGCACGATGACGACTTGGATGACTTTGATGACTCGGATCCGTGCAGTGAGCCGCAACAGAAGCAACTGCCAATTGCCGCTGCCGGCTACCGCAAGGAGAATCTAACCGATAAGCAAAAGTTCATGGAGTATGCATCCAAGAAGCAACAGCTCAAATCCTATGCAGCCGAGGAGGCGCAGCGCTATGGCGGCAGTCGCCATCGCTATGTGGATCCCGCCGAGCTGCCGTTTGAGCAGCTGCCGGGCCCCGTGCAGCCAATGCCCGTGGGGCACAACAAGTATGCGGCAGTGCATCGCGGCGCGGAGCAGACGCGCAGCAGCAATAGCAGCAACAGCAACAATGCGGAGCGACGGGAGCGCCACGACAGAGAGCGAGAGAAGGAGCGCGAACGGGAGAGAGAACGCGAGCATTCCAGGGATCGCAATCCGTATCGCGAGGCAGAGAGCCTACCCTACATACAGAGCATGGAGAAGATGATGAAATCAACGGGCATGCGCTACGGCGATGAGCCACCCCGCAAGCCTAGCAGCCGGGATGGCGCACGTCGTGATCCGACAGACTATGGCCGGGAATACCCGATCGCCGCTGGCAGTCAAGTGTCGCCACGTGAGCGCTTCCACGATGCCAAGGACAAGTTTCGGGCCATGGAACGCACCAGCAGCAGTCGCGGCTACGATATAGATGAACGCGACAATAGCGGAGCAGCAGCGCCCGCGGCGTCAGCGTCATCAGCAACCGATTACAGATCCTCGTCGCGTCGGCGTCGCGGCTCCGTGGAGCCGCCCAGCTACGAGCAGTGGAGCGATGAGGAGGAGGAGCTGCAGCCCGTACAGCCGCAGGAGCCCATCATGAGCCGTTCACGTGCTCGTTCACGCGAGCACTGGGAACAGGAGCAGCATGCCAGCAGCAGCAGCAACAGCAATATGCGTCATGGCCAGGAACGGGAGCGCGAACGCGACAGGGAACGGGAGCGGGAGCGGGAACGAGATCGTCGCGAACGCGATTATCCCATGCGACGCGCTGAAGATATACGCGAGCCAACACACGATCCTTATCGCCAGGAGCGTGAACGGGAGCGAGCACGTGAGCGGGTACGCGACAGCCATCAGTCGCAGTCGCGTCACCAGATGCGCGCACATTCGCGCGAATATCTGCAGCCGACGGAGCCGGTGCCCGTGTCCAAGTCCAGCTCGTCGCGCGTGGCCCACCATGCCGAGCGCTATCCATCGCCGGCGCCCACGCCGAACAGCAGCAACAGCGCCGCCTCCGGCTCCGGCAAACAGCCGCTGTCCAGCATGCCCAAGGGCTATCGGCACAGCTATGCGGAGCCCGTGTTTGCGCGCTCCGGCGGGCGTGTGGGCCTAGCCGCAGTCAATCCCTATTAGCAGCAGCAACGACAACAACTACAACAACACTTCTATATGAGCATACTCAATTACTGTACATTACACACACACACACACACACACACACTGAGACACAGACCACTTTTGGGATGTATCCGTCTGGGGAAGAGGAACGACCCCATCCAAGCGCCACAATGCAGCTGGGCACCAAGTGCCCCGCCGGCCAGCGCCTGTAATTATGTGCCTTCTAAATATGTTTTATATCAGTACAGATACATATACATACATATACATATACATATATATAGATAAGCCCATCTATATGCATCAATATCTATGACTATATAATGCATGTATATTTTTATATAGCTAAAAACGAAACGCGAACAAATCGATCAGAGTTGATATATGCATTTTTTTTTCGTATTCTTAAGTTGTGCGGTTGGTTGGTATACAAATATTATATATATATATATACTATACACATATATATATATATATATAGATATACTTTTTTTTTAAATCAACATAATATTTGATACTTGTATGCATAATGAACGTATATAGCTGATGTATCTATTGTTATCAGTTTGATATTTACATTAATAAAGCGCTAGAAAAAAAAAAAAAAAAAAACTATAATAAAACTTTTCTTTATTTATCACTCCCAAAATGTACGACATTTAAGTGAAACAACGAATCTTGGCTTACAACATTCAGTTTAGATTAGTTTTTGGTATTGTGAATTTGACTCAGCTAAAAACTACTTGAAATCTCACAGGCGAAAACGTAACTCGGAACACGCCTTTCGAATCCGCCGCCCATCAGACATTTTTGTTTTTTAGAGTGGCGCCATCTCTCGGCACCACGAACACAACTAGAAGTACGAATCAACCCTGCGCAATATTGGGCCACGTAGATAACATTTCGCAAACGATCATGAAATCATATTCTGCTACGAAATCGTCTAAACTAATCGAATAACAAATCCTATATTATTATAACAGCAAGCAGAAATAATAAATGGGAGCCACCAATAATTTAAGTGCAAATATAGACAACAGTTTCATAATAAAAAAAATCCAATTCGTAAGTCTGGTAACACTAATTTTTAAATCAAATCGGGTAGTACCACATGTTGGTAAGTATTGCGACTTGCTCATTTGTTGCATCAAAATTGAGCTGGACAATAAAATGGGTTTGTGTTAGTTTAGATTTAGATTTAGAGCAAATTTAACCAAGTCTAGTTAAGTATTCAAAAATGTTGGTACAAGATTTCTGCAGAAACTTACCAGAAGTAAATAACGCCAATGTCAAAAAATCCACCAAGAATAATAATATTCGGCAAAAATCCTAATTACTAACATTACAAATGATTATTTTCCGGATGTGATGCGTTATGAACTCCTGAATTATAAAATATATATGTATTCCTTATCCAAACATAAAACACTTCCAAAACTTACGCCAAAGCACTAAAAAAAGAAAGATGTATGGTATTTCATGAAAATTCTTCAGCTTAGACATATTAATTACTTCAAAAGTTCTCGAAAAGATTTTGATTTAACAAGTTTTAAAATCGGAATTGGAAGAGTTTATTGAATATTATAGTGTCATATCATATATCTGACTCATATCTTGAACACTTCTCGACCAAAAACAAATTCAAAATTTTTTAATAAACAATCAGTAAATAATACTCACTTTTTTTTTGCCGGTCGTAAGGAATTACTCAATTGATTTGTCGCCGGACTCCATTGTTTTCTTTTGTTGTTTTGTTTTACATTTTTATTGTTTAATTTAAAAACTCTTTGTTTGGTTTTTCACAATATTTTTTTTTTTTAAGATTTTTTCAAAACAAAAATAAAGAAGAAAAATATAGTTTATATAATATATTTTTTTCTTTCTCTCACTTGTGTTTTCGTTTTTTGTAGTTTTTTTTTTTTTGTAATAATATTAATTAAAAATATTGGTTTTGTTTTTTGTTTTGTTTTTTTGTTTTTTTTTTTTTTTTTTTTTTTTTTGTTTTTCTTTTGCAAGTTAATTTAAGAAACAATTAATCAAGTTCTTATTTAATTATACAAATTTAAAAAAAATAGTAATTATATAATAATAAAAATAATATTTATAACGGGGGAAAATGCAAATAGCTGTTGTTGTTGATTTTTCATGTTGTTGTTGTTTCTCTCATTTTGATGCGCGCACAAAACCGACAAAGAAAATGGGATTGGGGGCGGGGCGGCGGAGGCTTTTGTGTGTGTGTGTTTTTTTTAACAAAATTTGCGACCATTTTACAATATTTGATAGACGGAGGGAAGGGTGGTGGTAGCAATTGATTGATTGATTGACTGATTCATTGTATGATTGTCGTTCAACACCAAACTGTCAAAACCGGATGTTTCTATTATTTTTTCTTTAACTAATACTCTCCATAGATCCACACATGATTCCTCCTCTTCGGCTACTTCTTTACATAAGGTCACAAAAAAATTATTTATATATATATATTAATTGGTCTGCATATTGGTTCAGTGTAAGCTTGGCTATTGATGGTTGAGTGCGAGAGGCTGTTGTGTGGGGTGTGGGGTGTGGGGCGCGCTGCGTCGATATGGTGCTGGTGGTTGGATTGTGGTTGCCTTCGGGATTTAGGACAGAGCGCTGCTAATAGTTGTTTGTTGGGGCGTGGACAGCGCTTTACATGTTCTCGAACTGATCCACGCGACGCTTTGTGTTGCCCTTGCGAATCTCGCGCAATGTCTTGTACTTGTCACGTCCCTGGCGCACATTCTCACGGTGAATCTTATCATTTGCCGTCTCTTTCGTTTCGTCGCGTGACTGCGCCAGATCTTGCTTCAGGGCCTGCAAAAGAGCGAGAGAGTGAGATAGAGGATATGCACGAATAATGCGTAACATAGTTCTTGAGCAAAAAACAGTTCTGTAGCTTACAGCCGTTCGCCAAGTTCAGCTGAAATACGTATTTAACTGAGTCTTTGAGCTATAAACCAAACTGATGCTCAATTGAGATAAGTTGACAATGCTTAACTTATTCTATATATTATAAATTTATAACAAAACGTTGAACGTATAGAAGGAGACATCTTTAAATTCTTAATCAAGAATAACAGCTGCTTCAACCTAGACATATAATTTGTTTCTATGTTAACTAGTCTCTCAGTTTTAAGACTACGATCAAGGAAACTAGCATAGGTCCGACTTGGGAATACACAGAGTATCTAAATCAGAACTGGCCGAATGGGAATACTATACCATATAATTGTCATAGAAAATTAAGTTCTCGTATAACAAACTTGGTTGTTTTTCAGTATATCCCTATCAAACATGGCTTTTACAAGTTTTAGCCTGCTCAAATATATATATACGATATACTATCCAAGAAGAATCCAAGAGAGAATATTCAATGCTTTAAATATATCTTCAAACTCAGCAATTGTTAGCTTCAAAATTCTCTTCTTTTCTAAACATATTTTCTGCTAAATATAACAAAAGAACTTCTTTCAAAATTCCTTCATGCTATGATAAGATAGCTAAATAAACTGTTTGCTGCGCCCATTTAGCCAAAAAGCCTTATCTACATATCTTAGCATATTTATCTAGAAAGGTTATCTGTTCGGTCGTAGCACGTATATCATTAAATATGCCGCTCTGCTGGTTCGTATGTTTGCACGCACCTTGAGCTGGTCGTGCAAGCGTTCATTGCGCTCGGCCAGCGTGCGTCTGTCCTCGATGGGATCCTTGATATGCTCATCTGTGTCCAGGTCGCGCGACACATCGCCGCCGGCATCGCCATTCGTCAGCTCCTCCTCGTTCTCGTTCTCATCCTCGGCCACGTGATGGTGTTGCGGCGTGGTGGATGCAGCCAGCAGCGCAGCAGCAGCCTCGGCCTAGATGGATAAACAAATGGAAAATATGAATGATAATGACGGATAATGGGTATATGGTGCGGATTAACCTGCTTGCGGCGTGCCTCCTCGACCTCGTCTTGTAGGCGTTTGGTCTCTTCGTCCTTGGCATTGACCTCGTCCTGAATGCGCTGCACCTCCTGTTGCTTGGCCATGATCTCCTCCTCAAGTTTGGCTTTCTCGACGGCCTCCATATTCTTGGCCTCCTCGAGGCGCTGCAGCATGGACTGCAGCTCCTTTTGGCGCAGCTCAAGCTCATCCTTGGCGGCCTGCAGCTGCTTCAGCTGCTCCTCCAATCGTCGTATCATCTCCTGCGCCTCGAGTAGATCACGCTGTGAGCGCTCCATCTCCTCTTGCATTTGCTTGAGTCGATCTTCGTACTCTTGCTGCTTCTTCTCGGCGCGCTCACGTGCTGCCAGCGCCAGCTGCAGCTTCTCGCTGCAATTGGGCAACAAACAAGAGATGACATATAGACAACGGTATGAGAACTGGTGGCTTTGTGGGATCCACTTACCGCTCCTGCTGTTTGGCATTCTTTTCCTCGCGCGCCTGCGCCTTCATCTGCTGCACATCGATCGTGTCGGGCTTGCGACGACGCATGTAGAGCTCATGGTTGCCCATGCAGAGGGCCAGGATGCGCTTGTTGATGCGAACGCGCGGCGCAAAGAACATAAAGTCCGGCGCCTTCTTATCAATCGGTTTGATAATGAACTTCTTCTCAGAAAATGAAATGTTACGTATTTCGGACCATGGGAAACCAATTTTGGGCGTTAGTCGATCGTCCTGCTCGTAAATGTTAAGGCCGAGCGCATCGACGCCCAACCACAGATCGGTGCCCTTCTTGTTGCGTATCTCGAAATAGTTAACGCCATACATTTCCAGATCCTGGGCAATCTTCAGATACTCCATCATGGCATCTTCGCGCAGCATGCTGCGATGCTCCTGCCACCAGGTCATTATCGACTGCTCCCATTCATCCTTGGACATCTTGTGCTGATCGATGACACGCTGTGGCAATAGGCGATCATTCGCTAGGAAACCGGCTGTGTGAGTGGTTTTATTGTGATCACCGTGGCGCGCCTGCACCGCATAGGAGGCCAGCAGCACCGACGTTTCCGGCGGGCAGTAGATCTCGTCGGTCAATATGGCATTCTTCACTTGCAGATAGAACAGGCGCAGTGTGATGTCCTGTATTAGCTCCTCGGCCACATCCTCCGGATAGAATTTGGCACGGAATCTGAATTGCAAGGGATTCTCCTTTTTCACATCCTGATTCATAACCTATACATGCGGACAATTGAATAATTGATATTTGATTAATATACAAGTAGCTAAAAAGTTTTCCTTTTAATTCTCTATATATATATATTAAATATTTCTACATAAATATAATTTATATATTGCCCAATTGGGTTACCCATGTGGAGAACGGCATTGATCCAGTCTATGCATTTGTGTGTGCGTTCGGTGCAAAAGAGTGCAGCATGTTTTTTAATGGAGAATTAATCAGAGATCGATAAGAATTATATATTAAGTTAAGTTTTTCATTGACAAACTCTACATTTTAGAGGAGGGGGAGAAGGCATGCAAGGTCTAATATACAGACATATCGATAGATAGACATATCGATAGATTTCAGCAAAAAACAACAATATTTAAATTATCGCTGATGCCAGTTTTCAGCTGCGACGTTGCCAAATTTCACAACTAGTTAAGTTTAACGTTCCTTCGTTTGACGGATTGAATATTTGATATATTACACAATATAAACAATCGTATCCCAATAAACAATCGTTTGCCAGCTGGCTTTTTGACAATTTGCACTTTACAGCGTTGCCAATTTTCACAACTAGCAATTTAAACGGTTCAAATAGTAGGGTGTATTGAGGAAAAAGGAGCCACAATGTTTCAAGGCAATTTCTTAGCGAGTTACACTAGCAATATCTAGTTTTTTTTTCATTTTGATTTGGCCCACCATATCATCGGCATCATCATCCTCCTCGCTTTCATCCGTCTGATTGTGTCCATTGCTATCAGCGGTCTTTTTGTCCACATATTTCTTAACACGTTTCAAATATTTAATTGTCTTTATGGCCGGCGATTCAGGCTAAACATGAACACATAACCTTAATTATTGTCTAATCCAGTATATTTTATAACAAACACAATATACTTGCAAAATACTGTGATATATACCTATATATAGTTGTGTATAGATGTATTTTTTTAGATGCTTACCTTTTTGTATAACTTAATCCATGTGGAGTCACCCTTTGAGTCGGTGTACTGCAGACCAAAGAACCAAACCTCGCGCAGACCAATCGTCTTGACCACCTGATCGAACAGTTGTTTGCCGGTCGTTGTCGACTGAATGGCAAACTCCAGTTCAGCGTCCATTGTCGTGACGCGCACATTTAGCTAAAAATATATATAGAAAAGGGGAATATGTAGTAGAAGGTATGTAAACATAAATATATTTAAGTTTCAGGCATTTTACATAATTTTGGTACTTGTGTATAGACTAAAAGAAGTTGAAAACAAATCAATAGAACTGGATTATGTGCTATCGATCTTGCCGCATGGATCCCCAATACGATAACACTTGCCTAAGAAAAATAATATAGATATAAAGGGGGGTAATAGCCATGGTCAAATCTATGGGTTTAGACGTCAATTGGGTAACTGGGAATCTTTAGGGATTTTTAAATTTTTAAAAACAATTATTTTCTCAGAATGATATAAAGTGTGACCTAATTACTGCCTTGGGATGGCAAAATGCCTTACGCTCCTTTTTTTTATTAGAATTAAAATTCTCACGTGCTAGGCTCATGTGATTTCTTCCATTTCAATGGGTTTTGGTCATTTCTTATCTTCTGTTTTTAGCATTCAACCCTTCACCCATGCGGCAAACAAATTGGTCAAGTGACACACAAATACAGAAAGACACGCTCATACAGTTGTCTCTCTCCTCTCAGCCCTTCTCCGCTCTTCTCTCTCCTCTCTCTACACGGCCATGTGACTGGGAGCCCCTCTTGTATAACGATGACTTCTCTAAACACCCCGCGGTCAACAAGCTTAACAGCTAGTCTATCCATTAGCTATCTATGGGTGTTGTTGTTATTGCTGTCATGGTTGATTGCTTTTTGCCGTTTTCCGAGCGTGATTTTCCTGTATGGAGCTTTCCCGCTCGTAATTAGCTGACACGTGCACGCCCCACATGTTGGGCCAATTTTACTTATATAATCCTCCTTTGTCAGTTGCCGCTCGCAGGTCCAGTTGCAATGCGTGCAAATTGTGCTCGTTTATCAAAGCATTAAATGATCAAGCAAACGATTTTTTGTGTTTGTTTTCATTTTTCCATGTTATCGATGTTATAATGTGTGTGAAACTATCTTTGTTCTGGTTTGATATCAATAAATTGTCGTTTACGCTCATATCCATTTCCAATTCGAATTTTTTGCAACAATATTGCAAAGTTTTTTTCCAAAACGTGTTATCGATAACTCAGTTATCGCATTATCAAGTGCAAAGTTGAGCGTTCTACAGAGGTTCATATAAAGTAAAAACCTTGCAAAAGTTATGCATATTAATCGAATTTCTAAATGTTGCTCTGAACATAAGGTTCTGTCCATTATTCTGCGTATTTTATCGATATCGATAACTTAGTTTTTACATATTAAAGATAATTATTTGCAAATCTGAGCGTTTATTCAATGATATTGAACATCAAACGCTAACCTACAACAATTCTAAATAATTTTTGGCAGTGTTGAGCTTTTTCTATTGCTTTTACTGATATCGATAACTTTGTAATTGCGTACTGCAAAATTTATCGAGCGAAATTGCTAAATCATCGATGCTATTATCGATATCGATTACTTTGTTACTGCAATTGAAATATAAGTAATTATTTTCTGCAAATGTTGAGCGTTTATAAGGTGTTGTGGATTTTAATCTATGTTATCGATATAGCTCAGTGTTATCGATATCGATAACTAAGCTGTCGCAGAAAAAAGATTTCAAAGCTCAAGTGCCACAATAGTTTTTTCTAGAGCATGTTAACGATCTTTATGACTAAGTTCTCGTAGGCTCCAATATAATTCATAATTGAGTGCAAAATGTCGCGCTTTCTAGATGATTCCAGTTCTTGTTACGTGTTGTTAACTTTTTGCATATTTGTTTTGCTACGTAAATTGGCGTGTTGTTGTTGTTGTTGTCGTTTTTTCTTCTCTTTTTCTCTATGTTGTTTATTAGTGCACTTTTTTGCAATGCAAATCAAACGTGACACAATGCAAGGAAATTGAAAACGTTCATTTCAATCCAATTAACGTTTTTGGGTTAATACACGTTGCTGCTGCTGCTGTTGTTGTTGCTGTTGTTGTTGTTGCTGCTGTTATGTCTACTGTACGTGCATACAAGCATAGCTCACACACTGGCCCCACTGTGCATGCGAGTGTGGCAACGGAAACAGCCGCATAATCAACCAGTTCACGTCTCCCTCTCTCCTACCTGTGCCCCTCTGCTCCTCTCTCACTCACTCTTCGGCCGTGTGCTTCATCTGCGAGTCGCTGCGATTTGTCGCTTTTTGATAGGCAGCGGCTGCTGCATGACAAATTGCTCTCAGCTATGCCAAAAAATTGGCCTATGTGACGTTACTTTTCGTCTTTAGCTTTTATTTTTTTGTCAAGCCGGAAACCATATAAATGCATCAAAGCACAAAATTTGTGACTTACAAGTGGGGAAAAAAAAAGAAAAACAAGAAAATATTTGCAAATAGTCGCATATTTCTGACGGAATCGTGAATTATTCAATTAGTTTGTCAAATTCCAACAGTTTATGGCAAACTCTTGCCTAACAGCAAATGCTTCATTTGTATTTGTGATTATGCAACTTTGGCTTAAAGCTAAGCTATTTCTTTAGATGGTTTTCATATTTTACAGCTCGAATAAATAAATATATAGTTCGCCTAGTAACATATAATACCTATAATACCTAATATATCTAGAAAATAAAATATACAATCTTTTGTGATGTGGGAGCATATATCATATAATAATATAATATATCAAACGAAAGTTTTCAAGTTCAACATATAGATAGATAGATAAAAATATAGATAGACGTAGATATTGTAAAAAAAGATTCTTTAAACTCGTTCCATGCAGAAACAAATACAAAGCTACATTCATAGGGAAAACTTTTGGGCATGGACTATTAAAAAATATGATGAAACCTTTTATAGTCTTGCAAAATGCAGCTATAAATGTTATAGGACTGAACTATCTGCATGCCATAAGATAAGATATGACAATCTGTAAATATATATAATCAAAAAACTGTTTCTCTAAAAAACAATCGCAGAACTGAAGCCAAAAAAAAACTTTGTACAAAAGCTAATTTCACGTTGAAGAATTTCCTTGAATAAGCTGTTTTTATCAGCTAGATTTATCAGCTGTATTTAGAAGCTAGATTTATCAGCTACATTTATAAGCTAGATTTTTAAGCTGGATTCATAGGGAAGATTGTTAAGCTATTTTTTTGAGAGCAAAGTTTTAAATATAGGTATGAAAAATATAAATTGTTGATCGAATCTTTGAGCTTATATATTTTTAACAAATCTATTCAACAATTTGGACCAAAATCTTTTCAAACACAGCGATAGCTCGTCAATTAGAATTATCTAGAAATAAGAATCAGCCTTGAAACTGAAATTCCTATTTTTATTTATATTTTTTTTAGATAATTTTTCATGTACAAAAAAAACATTATAACAATACATTCATATAATAGATAATTAGCTTAAATTGGGAGCATCAGCGGAACTGAAATGTTCTAATTAGCGAGCGACCACTGTAGCAGGAAGCACACACAGGCACACACACACTACATTGAAATGCCCTACTCAAGGGTATTCCAAGTGGAATGTAATGCAACATGGAGGACGCACCATTTTGCGCTTCACGCTGCCGGCATAGCGCGAGAGCCGCGCACGGCTGTCGGAGACGACGACCATTTTGGGCGGCCAGGCGTTTTTCAGTAGTTTTTGAATAGCTGCAAAATTTTGGATGGCGCGTGGCCCGCACAAACACGCACACACACACACGCACACACAGAGGGAGAGAGATGGAAGAGACGCGTTGCAAAAAAAAAAATGACCCGCAAAAAGAAAACTTAGACAATGCGCGTCGTTCTGTTGTCCAGCGGCAACTGAGGAAAATGGAAAAGCGCCATTTGGTATTTAAGTTAATTCCACACGACAGTCGATAGGCTCTATTGACGAGAAAGTAGCCCAAGCCCAGGCCCAGGCCTAGTCTCAGGCAGCACGTGATCAGGTGTAAGAGGCAAGGGTGGCACTTGCAAGAGGGACGAGGTGCGAGGGGCGAGGGCCGAGCATACACGTCAGAGCCGACTTTGCAGCGACAAAGTGAAATGGACAAACGCTGGAATTATATTTTCCCTCAATTCGATTTTACGCATTTTTCTTTTTTCATTTCACTTTTTTAATTTTTTTTTTTTTTTGTTTTCATTTTTGCCCCCGCCTACTTGCTGGCAATTGTATGTTAATTATGGACCTAAAAATAGATACACAAATGACTAAACTGAGACATTAATACAGCTGTGCTTTTCACCTTCTCTCCCCCTCTCACTCCCTTTCTCTCTCTCTCTCTCTCTCTGAGCTGACCAGTGGGCAGGGGCCCGGCCTGGATAAACAAATCAGCGTCAATCATATGGCGCGTTGGCTGTCAGTTCTATTAGAGCTGCAATTAGCCAAGCCCATTAAGGTAAATATGCACATCATGAATAACGAAAGGGCATATAAATTATATGTGGAGTCCCAACATTTTTACAGCCTTATTAGAATTTACGTAAAAGATCATCTGTTTTTATGGCATTTTAGCTGTAGAACCTATTAAAACATGCTAAAGCCATTTCCAACAAAGTGGCATTAACGTTTACGAATGCGCAGCAAAGAAGATAAGAAGATTAAACGATAAAACGTAAGAGCTAATGTGTGAAACGTTTACGAATGAGACACAAAGCAGAAAGCTATAATTGAAATTATCTATCTAAAGCGGAAACAAGCTGAGAGCTTTCAAACGCATCAGCTATGAGTGGAAACGCTTACGAATGAGTAGCCAAAGAGTAGAAGACTGAGAGCTTGCTCTGCATTACACCCCCCACTCACGCACACGACAAATACTTACTCGGACTTATCTTGAAACTCAATTTTGAGGTCATTTGTTTTGTACGATTTACAATACGTGCTACACACATTTCATAAAATATACTCTTTTAGATAGTGGGGAAAATAAAAATAAAAGTTGACACTGAACTTATTGACTGATTTATTGTTTTGGCTTTCCGTCTGCCCTGTTCGCTGTCAATCAAATTGAATCAAATGAAATGAAATCGCAACAAATCAGTTTCTTGCACGTCGTCCAAGCTGTCAACTGATAGAAAATTCAGCGACAACACAAGACGGCTAAAAAAAAAAAAAAAAAAAAGACGGAAATTGGGCAACGCCAATGGGTCAAGTGGTCCCCACCTCCAAGGTGTGGTAGGGGGGGCGCCAAGCATTATGACGTCGCCCGCAAATATTTGACGTCATCGTAATATATTTGTACTTTATTATTATTTTGGCTCAATGCCAAGTTGAATGAACAAAAAAAGAAGCAGTCTTTAGACGTCAGGCATTTGGCCAGTTCAATGACGCTCTGCAGATGACGTCTTTTAATTTTTCAGCAAGTTCTGCTGTCAATCATTATTGATAAGAAAAAGTACACACTCGCTATGACTTTTTTTTTTTTTTGATATCGATGTCCAAGTGCTTGATAATCTATCATAGTTTACAAGCTTGTTTCCATTCCCATGATATTTTGGTGTTCTTTTCTTTTTCTCTTTATCAGCGCTCTCAAAACATGAAATGAGTTTTTCATTAATTTGATTGCTGCTGTGATTGATTGCATAACGATTAAAATACAATTTCATATCAAATATGTACATATGAAAATAATATAAATGTGCATATTATCAAATGTTTTTAAGTAGATTTGCATGTTTATTTTTAATGGAATTATAATTCTAGACGAACAATCTACTTCAAACTATTGTTCAATTATTATTGTTGATTTCTTTGCAAACAGTGTGGCAACACTTGCAAATCTTGTACGTTTACCAACACTGAACGTTTCTTGTCTAACCAAATATCAGGTCAAATCCTTTACCCTGAACCCATTGGAAATGGTTAAAAAGGGCATCACGTTTTTGACAGGCACAAGAAAGCTTCTCTGAATCCAAAATATATATATATATTCTTGATCAGCATCAATAGCCGAGTCGATCTAGACATGTCCGTCCGTCTGTCTGTCTGTCCGTCAATCTGTACGTGCTATGAACGAGTCGAACTTATAAGAATGTAGCTCTTCCTCGTGCCCGAGCAGTATGCGGTTGGTAGAACAAAGTTCAGGGTACAGTCAACAGTGCTGCCAGCTTGTTTTTACTTGTGTAAAGGTTGCCACTTTGCAGTGTTGCATCACAAAGTTCATTTGCCACATAAATGTTGTATATTTTAATGCTTTACTTACCGATTTTGGCGACATTTTGCTGCTTGTCTCTCCTCACCCAGTCGTTGTTAGTGAAATTTTAACAGTTTTTGGGTTGCCACAAAGTGTTGGACGTTTGCGTTTCTTTGCTCTCGTGTGTTTGTTGCTTTTACCTCAGTACTGGTTCAGACTGCAATGAGAATTGACAGGAGAATAATGCAATTAATTGAAAGCAAATAGACAAACGAACTATATGTGTCGAATAAACTAGTTTGGGCAAAATGAAAGACAGAACAATATTGTAAGGCTGTTGGACACAGTTGCTTTCTGCACACGCCAAGCGACTGCAAATGGAAAGCTCACGATCATAATTCCTATATACTATAGGAACTGTGTGTTTTGTATATATCACTTGGCGCATGTGGTTATATCTGGTATATACGCTTATTTCGGATTTCACCTGGCACTTTGACAAACGCAAAATGCAGCCTCAGAAACAACTAGTTTTTGTGTTTGCTTCTTCTTTTTTTTCTTTCTAATTATGAAATCGTGTGTATGAAAGTTGAGTCAAAACATAAACGGTTGCTAAAGCGCGCACTCGAAAAATATTGATAAAAATGTTCCGAGCGGAAATGCAAAAAAAAAAAAACAAGAAAGAAAAGTTAACAAAATGTTTAAATTACGACTGTGTTTAAAGGTTTTTTTTCTGTTTTTTTGAGAGAGAGGAATATCTCGTATATATACTTTGACAAGTTAATGAGCTCAGCTCTCAATGGAAGCAACCCACCCGTAGCCGGAGCAAGTGCATCCATTTTACGGGCAACCCTTGAAGCTATTTGTATTTCATATGAAAACGTTTGCTTCCACAACGAAATCACTTAAATCGAACATTAAATGCATATGTTTAAAGGCTTTTTGCTGTTTGTTTTGGTGTATTGTGGCCAAAAGCTGTCAAACATGTCATGAAAATTCAATTGACATTTTGACACATGACATTTGAAACGCCGCTTACCAACACTGACGTCACACGAGACGCCATATTTGTTTGACTTACTCGTAAATATGTTGAGCACACACACACACATATATATATATATACACTATATGATTTTTGAAACGAGCCTGAACAAACGGTTTCCGTCGAAATGCAAATTAATAATCATTAGCTGCAAAGGCAAAAGACATTCCAAAGTTTCGGTTTTCATTGTTGTGTTGGGTTTGCACAAATAGTGACATCATGCCGACTTTATTATCGCTTCTGCGTGAACTTCGAGTGTACATAAATACACATACATATATATTATATACAAGCTACTACTATATCAACACACACACGCACACACACACTCACACACAAGTATGTTATGTTACACTCTTTAAGTGTTGTTGGTTACAAAAGAAAAAAAAAGTATCTGAGGAATTCGCATTGGTATTTATCATCCGAAATTCTTGTTAATTGATGTGCTTGTCACAAAAGTCGTGTTTTATAAGCAGCTAAAAACTTCTTTGAAAAACAAAAATATGACGCCAGTGTTAGTAAATATTCAAATTTCCGTTTTCATTGGTAGCCCTGCTTCGATAGAAATTTATTGATATTATCGCTGTTAAATTTATATCCATTTCAGACTCAACAAATAGAAGTTCTTACAGCTTATTCAAACGAATGTCAGTGTTGGTAAACATTGCTATTTAACTTTTCATCAAAATTATCTTTCACTTGAATATTAATACTAGAATTTTTTCATAATTAAAGCACGCAAACTTTTTTTTATTAACAAACATAGCATTTCAAAGAAATTTACGGGCATAATTTTTGTGTATTATTTTCACTTAAGATCTTAAGCAAAATCTTTCCCTAATAGAATAGATGAACTATTAAAATCTTACAAAAATTATATTTAAATCAAGAAATAGCTGACATAAGTAAAATATTAAGCTACATTAATTTTTAATAAAGGGTATTTGTTGGCCCTGCTACGCCGAATTCGCTTTCCTGTTTCCTCATTTTTATTATTTTGAGATTTCTGTTAAATATTATTTATTTGCCTTGGACTCGAGTAAATTTTGAAATGAGCTCATATTATTTCTTGCCAGCTGTAAATGAGCGAAATGGTGCTAATCAGCGGCAACAGCAACGGCTAGCGACAAATTCCTTTGGTTTGAATCAAGCGTTGAGGGTCAAAACGGAGCGTCTATTGGCAGTTGAATGAATCATTTGAATGTTAAGCGCGCGCACACTCACTCACACACACTCACACACACATACTAATAACACTCAAACGTTTGGTTACGAGCAATGCATCCTGCCTTCGAGCAACCATGCGTCATTTCCTACTTCAGTTGATTGCTATTTGATTTTATTTCATTTCGCTTTTGCTTAATCTGTGACTTGATTTTTTTATGCAGGAGGGCGACGGACGGGAGGCGTAAGGGCTGGTCTGGTGGGGCTTTTAAGTTTACCGCCACAAACGGAAATGAAAATGATTTGGCGAAAATGCTTGAGCGACGCATTTATGGACTAGACTGGATGGAGCGCAGCTTAAGTTATCGATAACACAATGCGTTGCTCAGCACTAAGCGGAGCGTACACCTGATATGCACAGTTATGTTATGCACATTACGTTTACATAATCTCGCCGGGGGTTAACCCACGCGCAACATTTGCTCATTGTTTTGTTTATGTTTAATATCCATTAACTGCATTTAATGAGTTCAAGCTGAAAGCAGCGGGCCAAAAATCACGTTTTCGTTTTACGTTTAATGCTTGACCAACGGAACCACAAGCGCAAAGCACACAAACACAAACGCAACTAATGAGCTTTTGAGCGTTGAGCGCACGCAAAAACGTAAGAGAGCGTCGTAAGAGAGCGACGCGACGCCGACGCGACGCTCGCATTGCGTATGCGCAACGCAATGGAAGCCAAATAACTACATAAAAGCGAAATGACAACAACAACAACAACAAGAGCAGCAGCCGCCGCAGCGTGTGCTGTCTTATTTTTCTTCTTTTTTTTTGCCATTCGTTTTTACTTTTCATTTTCATTTGGAGTCGTAAAAGAAGCATATCGTAATAATAATAATAAATAATCATTAAATAAATAGCTAAAACATTTTTAGCGCCAAACTTTTAATTTCAACAATTATGCGTCTTTTTCATGGCGCGTTGATTTTCGTCCATCCCGCTCGCACTTTCATTCTTTCTTTCTTTCTTTCATTCTTCATCTTTCTTTGTCTGTTTTGGCTGTTTGTTGTGTGGTCAATAATTAAAATGGGGCAATCAAGCGTACAAATGAATCGCTGCTGACCAAGTAAACTGTTTAGTCTGTATACCCTGTACTAAAGCGTAGAAAGTATATGCTGCTGTTCTGGCAGCTGGGCGAAAGTATTTAAACAGTGTAATGTATATTTTCTTTCTCTTTCTCTTTCAAATAACAGCTTCAATTCTTTATTTTATTTCTTCTTATATATGCGAGCTATAAAGAAAACTATCGAATTACCTATAGACTACAGGGCATCTAGAGGTCGAGCACACGAATCTATCGCACTCTTACGCATTCTGTTTTGTTTCGTGAATGAGAACAGGTAAGACAGGGCAAACAGTCAGACAAGCGGCTCGGCTTAGCAACAAATGTTAATTACAGGTTAAAACAAATATATTTTTAGTTCAGCTGTTAATTATAAATATGTACATATGTATATAACATACAATATAAAAAGCTCAGATGAAACACGTTAATGTCTATACAAAAATATCTAAAAAGCTTATGTACACACTGCCACATAGACAGACGACAGCTTAAAATGTGACAATCTAATGAAGCAAATTAGGCTTAAATGTTCTTGATAGCAAGCAAATGGCGCGCACGTAAAGAAAATAACAGCAGCAGCAACAACAACAACAACAGCAAAAGGCAACTGTCAAAAGTCAGCGACTGTATCCCAGCGACATGTGCGAAAGCGAGAGCGAGAGAGAGAGACGGCAACAAGATAGCAACAACTTGGTGGGCGTAGCAGTAGCAGAATGTAGTTGCGGGGGAAGGGAAGGGAGGGGGGAACGTACAAGATGGGAAGAACGGGAGCGAATAAAAACATCAGCGCGGCCATAATTAACACGGCACGCAAATAAATTTAAAAGCAACAACAGTCGAATGTTTTCTTTTTTCTGAGTGTTTTTTTTTTTGACATTTGCGCCTCAGTCACTTCATGATTGGTTTAATTGCCAACATATAACAACAATTAGTTGTGCATAATTATAAGCTACATATTTTTATGCGTAATTATTCAAACACGCAAAAAGTGCTTTTGACAAAACTGAAAATATGATGAGCATGAATATCACATATAATAATTGCTCACATAAAAGCTCTCTCAGCGCAGAGAGAGAGACAGAGAGAGAGAGACACCGTTAGTTGGTCACTAAGCGTGATCTGCGCTTTTATCATGATGTTAAATTTGCTCTTTTGGTCAATTTGACAGAAAGTAGTGCATGCAAAAAACAAACATGGAAACACACACACACACACACACACCACATAGACAAAGCGAACATTGTTTTTTTTCAAAGAGCAGCTGGCATTTATTTATTTTTTTTTGTTGACAATTTTTTTTTTTTTTGGTTGTTTGCAGCTCAATCAATGGAAAGTTTTTATAGGAAGCCTGCGACCGGCTAATTTGCTCGAATAGTTATTACGTGTTTTGTGGCTGTTGTTGTTGTTGTTGTTGTTGTTGTTGTTGTTGTTGTTGTTGTTGTTGTTGTTGTTGTTGTTGTTGTTGTTGTTGTTGTTGTTGCTGTGTATGTATTGTGTGTAGTACATATGTATGCATATCGTACTGCTCGGGTTTTATGATAATCTCAATTGGGTCATATTGCATAATAACGAACGGAGACGTGTCGCTTATCAGCGTTGGCCACGTAAAGTCGCCCTACGTGCATTCCATAGCCGAAGTTGTAATTTTTTAGCTCATTTCTTTGCTTTTTTTTTTTTTTTTTTGCTTTTATTGACGTATTTGTTTTCTTCAATAGTTCATTAAACACATTGGGCATGTCAACTAAATAAAAGCAACAAATAAGAAAACCATGTAATAAAATAAAATTGGCATCGCGTTTGTGCACCGCGGCCTAGTACCATATTTTTTCGATTGCTGTCAACGTCACTTCCGTTAGCAACTGTTCTCCCGTATTTGTACAAT